ACCCTTACTGCTCACCCAGCCCTCCCCAGCTCCCAAATCTGCCCCTTTTGGTATTCTCACCTCAAATGCAAAGGAGTGCTGCTGGGTGCTGAGAATGGGAGCACCTCATCACTGCCGCCCCGGGGGGTAGCCAACCCCTCTTGAAGCTGCTCTCACCCCCCAGCCCAACCCCGGTCCTAAACGTTAGTGCAGCCTGCAAACAGCCTGGTCCTGCTGGGGATCCCGGAGAGAGCAGGCAGCCAGGGCATTCCTCAGTGCCCTGCTCCAGGAGCCAAGGTGGTTTTGGGGGTGATGGCAGCACAGTCCCCCTCCTTGCCTCCTCCTTCTTCCCCCAGGTTGGTGGGGACAGGACAGGTGGTGCCATCCCAGCACTGGATGTGCAGGCAGAAGGGAGGTTGTGTGGGATAGATTTTGGTGCTCTGGGCTCCTGGGGCCATGATTGAGACTCCCTTTTGCAGGGGGAGGTCAGGGAGGCAGCCTGTGTCCCCCTCCCAGCTGACCCTCACCCTGCAAAAGCATTAGCCCGAAAGACAAGGTTCATGGGGAGCTGCTGTCCTTCAGCCCACTCCCATCCCGCCCTGGCAGCACGTCTCCTTTGCAGCCAAAGGCTTTCAAGTTTTGGGAAATCAAACAACAAAACAAACAAATGAACAAAAAAAAAAAAGCAAGAAAGAGAGAGAAGGAGGGAAGGATCCTGGGGAAGGTGGTACTGGCCTACAACAGTCAGGAGGTTTTGCACAGGGATTGGCGAGCAGAGGAGATGAGAGACAGCGGCAACAATGGCGACTTGGGGCCCTTGGGGTTGGCACAGGGTCCTCCTCCTCCTCCATCTGCTCTCTTCACCCATTCTTCACCCCACCTTTACTGCACCATTAGCCCCCCCCCCCAGTCAAACTGACCCTGCTCCATCAGCCCCGCTGAGCCCAGAGGGGTCCCTCTCTCGGCCCCAGCACGGTGCTCCCCTTCACCAATACAGGGGTCACTTCGCTCCTGCAGGTTTTTCTGGGGGACAGATCTGTTGTTGGTGGCACCCCCTTCTTTTCAGCAAGGGAAGACACTTCATCCACAGCTCCAAACATGCCCCACCATGGGATCTCCATGAAGTCCATCGGCAAAACTCGCCCCCACCATAACTCCAGGGGAAACAACCACAGGACATCCAGTCCTGCCCTCAATCGGGGCAAGTATCCTTGTGGGGGGACTGCAGGATGCTTTGGGGAGTGATGCTGTGCCATGGGAGGCTACAGGGGTGCCCAGTCCGTGATGGAGAGGACCCTCCGCCAGAGCCCCTTGGCATCGAATCCCCCTTGTCCCATCCCTGCTGGCTAGGACCCGCTGGCGCTGCAGACCCCCTTTCCTCCCTGCCCAGCTCCGTCAGGCTCAAAGGGGCTTTTGGGGGTGCAGACACCTTCCCCCTGAGATTGGCTGGGTCCTTTGGGCAGTGCTGGCTGCCAGCTCCAGCCGTGGCAGTGGGATGTGGTCCCCAGTGGGTGTGTGTTTGCCCACTGGGATCGGAGCGCCCAGACCCCACAGCTCGCTTTCCTTTCCTTCCTTCCTTTCGTTGCAGGATCTCCTCCCAGCACCAACATCCTGGAGGCCCTTGTCATGGGGAAATGAGAGGCAACAGTCCCAAAATCAAATGTAAAAAAAATAAAAACAACAAAAAAGTCAGGCAGGCAGCTGAGGGCTGTCCCAGCACGCCTGAGGCAGTGGGTCTCCATGGCGTGGTGCCTGCTGTCACTCAGCAAGGAGCTGGATCCCAGGTTAAACGTGAGGGCCAGTCGCAGGATCATACTGCAGGGTGGCGGGAATCAGCCATGGCAATGTGAGCAGTATCCTCAGTGTGAAAGGATGGAGACCAGCATTTTCCTACCCATGGGAAAGGCTATAAACCAGCCTTAACAAAAATCCAAGACAAAACAAAGTGTAGGTTTGGTTTTTTTTTTTTCCCCTGGAGCAAACTGCTTTTTTGGCTGTGAAAAAAAATTAAAAATATATCTCCATAGTTGGTCTTCCTTGTGGTGGCAAAGGGTGGTGAAGAGTTTTGGCCCCGATCCCCCTGTCCCCACACAGGGATGCTTCAGTGTGGACAGCAATGGAGTATCTGCGGTGTCAGCTCGGATGCAGTCCTTGGCGTTGGCAGGGCCCTGATCCCACAGGCACTGATGCTCCTCCGTAACTCTGCTCCCGTGTTCAGTCTGGCAGGTTATTATGCTTTTTTTGGGAGGGGGCAGCATCTCTCCCCCTGCTTACAGTTAAGCCCTCCAGATTGCAGGTTTCGAGGTGAAATTTTGCAAGGAGGAAAGCCACGTCCGTGCACACACACACTCGCACACACGCACAAATGCTTCCACACCTGGATGGACAACAGTCAGAGTTCCACTTGTCCAAAAAGATTTCTGACCTCCCGTTTGAGAGGAACTGGATGGGGAAGGTTGTCTTTCGTTTTTGGATGATTTCTTTTTGAAGTCCATGAATATTTTTGGGGGGAGGTATTTGTGCCATTGCAGGAGCTGTGTTTCCCTCCCCAGCTCATCTCCAGACACGAAGCCAGCAGTCCCACTCCTCCTCCCAACGTGTCGAAATCTGCCTGGACCTCGGGCTGTCGTTTGAGACTGAAGTCAAATCAAGTTGACTCGAGTGAGTCCCAGCGATGTGGGGAAGAGACTCTGGAGGACTGCAGCGAGGAGGGGGAACACTGGTGGCCGCAAGGTTTTCTCTCGAGACCCTTTAGAAAATGACTGGCTAAAAAAAAAAAAAAATAAAAAAAAAATTAACCCGCCTGAAACCCGTACTGGAAAATCACCAACTCGGAGAGGTTCCTGCATCAGGGTGGCCTCTGCTTGCAGCAGGGGGGCACAGGTGGCGTTGGGGAGAGGCGCGGGATGGCGGAGCGGCCACGGCAGGTTTGTCTCTGGCTCTGTCCTTTCCTTGCTGAGTCCTTGTTGTCAAGAGGCTGCTGTAGATTCCGAGTCCTCAGTTTCTTCAGGGTTTGCTTTTTTCTTTTCCTTTTCCTTTTTCTCTTTTCTTTTCTTTTCTTTTCTTTTCTTTTCTTTTCTTTTCTTTTCTTTTCTTTTCTTTTCTTTTCTTTTCTTTTCTTTTCTTTTCTTTTCTTTTCTTTTCTCTTTTCTTTTCTTTTCTTTTCTTTTCTTTTCTTTTCTTTTCTTTTCTTTTCTTTTTTCTTTTCTTTTCTTCTTTTCTTTTTTTCTCTTTTCTTTCTTTTTCTTTTCTTTTCTCTTTTCTCTTTTCTTTTTTCTTTTTTCTTTTCTTGCTTTCTTTTCTCTCTTTTTACTTTACTTCTTTCTTTCCTTTTCTCTTTTTTCCTTTTTCTTCCTTTCTCTTTTTTTGTTTCCTTCCTTTCTATTTTTTCTTTTCCTTTCTTTTTTTCTTCTTACATGAGATGAAAGGAATCGGAGTCCCGGGGCGCGGGGAGGTGCGGAGGGGAGGGTGAAAGGGAGCCTGGGTAGGTAGTGATGGGGCAGAGGGAGGGGATGCGACTTCACTCCACGTTGCTGCTGTCAAATGCGTGGCACTGCAGGTCTCCGCTCAGGTAGTCAGTCCCTGGCAGCTTCATGCCGTATTTGTCCACGCACCAACACAACCCACGCTTCCGGCCTCGGGAAGGCTTGCACTGGGGAGACACCCAAGGGCAGAGATCAGGAGCTGGCCACCAGACGCCCTGCGGCTCCCTCGCGCTAGGGATCCGGATCAGCCCTGCGCTTGGCCCCTTTCACCCCAGTGATGCAATCCCCTGGGTAGGACCTAGCTCCTGCTCTCTGCTTTCAGCACATCTCCATCCCCGCTGCTACCCCAGCCCGGTGCCCTCTGACTTTTCCTCCTCCCACACCAGCTCCTTCAGGCTGCTTGCCTCAGACCAGACTGCGCTTGGAGCCACCAGCAAGGCCACCCACCAACAACCGTGCCTGGAGATGCTCACAGCAACCTCCCCACCAGCCCAGCAGAAGAAAAACTTCCATCCTTTCCATCCAGAGCAGCGGACCCTCCCTGCGTGGGGAGCATCCCTCTGTGGGGCTCTTTCTTACCTGCTTCCTCTTGTAGAAGCCTTTTCGGTCGCAGTTGGGGAGGTGGACGGCGCGAGGGACCATCCGCTGGCTGCTCTTGAGCTCCTGCAGGGATGCCTCCATGTGCCTGCGGCAGGGGCCCTGCGAGCAGGGAGAAGATGGAGCGTGAGAAGGGGAGCGCCCTGCAGCAAGCCTCCAGCTGCAAATGCCCCCAGGTCCCCTGTCCCCCCCATTGGCACCCACTCCCCAGGGGGATGAAGCCTTCCCGCAGCCCCCTGCCCGCGGGAGCCCCATGGAAGGAAGGCGAAGGCACCCACCAGCTCAAACTCTTGCCGGAGCTCGGGGATGACGACGCGGGGGTGTGCCGTGTTCTCCGCCATGCCCACAAACTTGGCCAGGGTCAGCTTCTTTCTGCGGTCCTTCTTCAAGGCCTCGGCCTTCAGCTCAGAGAGGCGCCCATGCTTGGGCCGGTAGGCCTTGGGTGGATAGGTCTCCTCTGTCATCTCCGACGTGGTCGGCTCCTCGTGTTCTCGGGACTCCCGTTCTGGAAGGGAAGGGATATCAAACTGTCCATGAGCTGACTGCGGCTTGCTTTTGCATGGAGAGCCTCCTGCCCAACCCCAGAGGACATCTTTGCACCAGGCAGGACAGGAACAGATGACCAAAGAAATCCCTTTCCCAGCTGCTGCCTACAGCCCTGACTTTATCCCACTGTGTGGGACTTGGCATGGCTTTCGTGTGACCCCTTGAGCTCAGGACAGGAAGATGTCTGAGGGCACGGAGGAGCTGGGAGTCAGGATGGACGCCTACGTACAAGGCCACCATTGTTTGCAGTGTGTCAGTGGAGGACTGGTGGGAGGATTATCCCAAACCCAGAAAGGACCAGATGATACACAAAATGTGGCAGAGAAGCCCCTGTTTAGCCATGGTAGAGGATTAAGTGACAAATTCACACCAACCCCGCCTTGCAGATGCAAGAGTAAAAGCCAGGGATGCTTGAAGATGAGACAACTCCAAAGTAAAGGTCAATCCCACAGCAAAGCCACCATGCGGTTGGGCAGACACTTCGGCAGCGATGCCGAAGATGTGGCTGACAAGTGCTGGGATCTCCAGGGTCCTCAATCTGCAGCCCCACGCTCATGGGACCGAACCAGCCCTTGTCCGCTGGCATCTACTGAGCAGCTGGCAAAGCCCAGGGTAACGCTGCCAAGCGGTGCTGCCTGACCGTAGATGCCACCAATAGTACCGATGGCAAGGGAGGAGCACGTATAGGCTCTGCCCGCGGCAGTTGCTTTCCTGTACACCCCCTGGATTGCCCCAGCATGACCTGTGCCAGCAGGATGCAGTCAGGAGCCCTGTGCGGTTATATATAGGAGAGAGCTGGTGACAGTCTAAACTTAGATGACTTGTGACATTTAGTACAGCCACCAGAGTGAAAAAGGATTATTTCTGGACTAAATTTGAATAGAGTTTAAGGCTCCTGAGGCTCCCGGTCTTCCAGTCCCTGGTTCCCAGCAGCCTGGTACTGATGCCAGGTTTGTGCTGGGGTCAGCGGGCAGGCACAGAGAAACCCACTGTGGCGGCAGGCAGAGCACCAGGGCAGCTGAAATCCCTCCCTGCACCATGTCTCCCGCAACTTCCATGCCAGTGAACCCCGCTTGTCCCCTCCGCAACACTACGGTGAAGACAGCAGGGCACCAATTCTGCCCCTCCTTCTCCCCGCAGACTGGCAGCTCCCCAGAACCCAGATGCACTCCCATGGGGAAGGAAGATGGCTCTGCTGCCCAGGGGTGCCCTGGGGATGCCTGGCGAGGGGGGACAGAGGCGTTGCTCAGTGGCAGATGGCAGCACCAGCCCATCACACACAGCCCCAGCGGGGTGGTCTTGGAGGTGGCCAAGGGGACAGGCTGGTCACTGGACACCCAAGCCTGCCACGGCTGCCAGTCTCCCCTCCCTCCTTGCCAAGACAGACCTGCCTTCTCCCAGCAAAACTGGAAAGTTTTCCATGGCCACTTATTTTATTAAAGCAGACTTTATTTCTTCTCTTTCCACAAGACCCGAATTGGGTCTGCATCCCAGACTTAGCATCCTCTTTACTGCCCACAGCAATGTAAATAACCCCACGCACCGTCCTCAGGACTTGCATGTACCCCCAGGATGGGATTCTCTTGCCATTTTGCCCCATGATGCTCATATGTTTGGGGTTTTTTTCTTGCTGCATGACTCAAAGGTCCCCACAGGTTGGGGCTTCTCTATTATAAGGGAATGACAGACAAGGGATAGTGAAGAAATTTATTAAATTGGGAATGATCTTGTCCCCCAGGAAATTACACTGTACAAGGTGCAGTAGAAGAGCATCCTTTGCTACAAAGATGCTGCAGCAATCTGAGGTTCGAAGGGAAACCAGAGACATCTGCAGTGACTAAGCCCCTCCACAGCAATGAAACACGCTGTGATCTGTCCCAGGAATCCCCTCTGGCACCGACTGCCAGGGACGGACATGGCAGAGCCAGGGCTTCTCCCTGGGCTGCGCTACGGTAATTAAGGGGAGGGGAGGATTCACACCAGCACAGGCAACCCTGCAATAACACAAGAGGGGCACAGCTCATTAACTCTGCAATAACAAATATGAGAGGCACAGCTACCTGGGAAAACCTAAAATAACAAACAAATGGGACAAGGCAGCAAGGATTCAGTCAGAAAAACAGTACGGGGTGTCCAGTCCCCGGGACTTGTGGTGCAATGGGTATCTGCAGCGGCTCAGCCTGCTCATACGGTCAGCAGCTTCAGCCTCCGCAAATGCGTTATTTCTCTGCTTCCTGCAAGCTGCCAGCCAGCCAGAGTGGGCTGGGAGCTGGGCACTAACATGGAGGCCTTTTGGCAAGGGGAGATGGGAGCCGCAGGAGCCCAGTGCTCTGCAGAGGGAGCCAAGGGCTGGTGTGCACTGAAAGCTGCCCAGCTCCCAGCCCAAGTCCAGTGCTTCCTGCGTGGCTGAAAAAGCACCTGGAACTGACCCCTTTCGCCCTGCCCGGCATGCATGGGTCCCTGCTCAACTAGCGATACGACAAGGGTGGCTGTGGTGGGACTCCTCTGTCTGCTGCTCAGCAGTGGTGTCTAGTTTGAGTCTTTATTTCCCAGTGAGAACCGCATGGATGCCTTGGAGGGATCCCTTTCTTCCACCCTCTGATGTTTTTTATAGCCTAATTTCCTTCAGCAAGAAGGAAAATTCCTGGCTCATGTACTCGAATATCTGTTCCCTAATTTGATACTAACAAGACGATTTTGACAAACTGAAGGGCAGAGTTCTCTGACACACAGACTCCTGACAAGCTCCGGGCAGCTGGTGAGGGACCTTCCCCGTGCCAACGCAGAGGGACGGGCAGAGCCGGGGTGGGCAGCACCCACACAGTGCCCCCACTTCGCCTCCTGGCCGCCTCATCCACACCAACCTGCAGCCGCCCACTGCATCCAGGACCAGACACCCATGTCAGCATCTCCAGAGCCCCTGCACCCGCCTGCCCATCCTCACCCACCAGCTCATTCATTAACCTCCATCTGCCACCCCAGGGCTGGCTTGTGGCAGGGAGCACTGACACGGCTGCACCTCTGCTCCCGAGGAGGTGCTGGCAGGAGCAATGCCCCATTTGCCCCAATGAGCTCTAACTGTGCCTGTCAGACTCAGGAAGGAGGCTGGAGTTCCTCCTCCCTCGCTGTCAGGATCTGGCCCACCGCACAGCCCCTTCCTACCTACTCCCATGCACCTTGCCAACCCGGCGACTGGGTTTCAGGCATAGGCAGGAAGGTCCTACTCACCACGTCTCCAGCCAGGGGACAGTGGGAAGCAGGAGGTGGGTGGCTCTCACATCTCCATCCCTTCTCCCCACTCCTTAGGAGGAGGTGACCTCTCAGCAGAGGTCCCAGGCTCACTGGTGACACAGAAGACTGACATTGCTGGCCAAGGCAAGGATGCCTGGCTAGATTTGAGGTGAGACCTGGACTGTAGTCACCTCAAGGGGATGTTGACCCTACAGCCAAGGCAGCATACTGAACTAAATTCAGAGCCACCTCATGGCTTCATGTCTGGTCTGATGCTGTGGTGCCCCTGGAAGACCCAGGGGAAGAGGGGGCGGCACGTGGGAAGAAGACCCAGGGAAAGATGGGCGAGCATCTGGAGAGGCTCCTGACACAAGTCCGGCCAGAAGGACTGTGGTGGTGGTGTCCTAATACATGCAGGCTCCCATCAGCCCTGGGAGGCAGAAAATACCCATAGCAGAGCATGGGCTGTTCTCTGCCCCAGGGCTAAGGGCTTAGTACCCTCTCCTCGCTCCAGGCTGGCCAGAGGGAGCTCCCTAGCAGGAGCCATTTCCAACCCTTTCACCCTGCCCCTACACAAGGTACATGGAGTAGCAAAATACCAGGCACAGTTTCTGGGAAGCTGCAAATTGCTCCTGTGCAGCTGCCTGCTGTCCTTGACAGACATCACCCAGAGCAGCCTGCACACCTTCCTGGGCCTGGGCCAAAACCTTGCCTGGGTGCTTCTGTGCTCCAGAAGTTTTGGACATGTGTGAGGTCCCCACAAGGTGCGTGTGTGTGTTCACACGTGGGTGTAGGGCGTGTGAGAACACTGCCTCCCTGCTTGCTGACATGACAGAGAGGAGCAGGAAGCTTGTTCCAAATGGCTAGGAGGCTTGAATTTTCATAACACATTTTCATCGGTTTCTGGCAGGAAGGTAGGAAAAGTATCTATTGACTGCTGCTGCTAATGATGCGTGCTCGTTACATCCGCAGCCCACTGCTAGAGGACTTGCTGTCCTGTTCAAACACCCAAAAAAGAAGTCACATGTACCTAAGACAGACAAGCACAATAGCACAACCTTACTAAACAGCCCTCGTGATTATTATCATGATTATTATTATTTACAGCACGAGCACAAGCATAATACATCGCTTAAGCAGGAAGGTGTTGGAGAAAGACTTAACGGGGATCTCAGTTAAACCTCTAGCATAAGAACTACAGCAAATATCACTGGTGGAGACCTTGAGAAGTTGCCCAGTCTTTCCTTTGCCCCCAAACTCACCCATCTCTGTTCAGAGGTGCTCGTCACAAGGTGGAAATTAAGGCTTACGTTACCCAGGAGCTGAAACATCGCTGCTTAGAGCGCAAGTGTCTCCCACTATACAGTGCAGTGCAACAGTGCACAAAGTCTCTGCTCTCCACCAGAGGAGGATTTACCCCCAGGATGAAGAGCCACCTCCCAGTATTCCCATGAAGGGAATATCCTCAGCTGCAGGACTTCACAAGTGATCCCCCCACTCTGCTTTTCCAACGGGCTCCTTGTGATTTTGGGCCCTGGTGGCAGCTGTCTTTGGAGGACCCCGCTTTCTGTCCCATTGCCGCTTACAACAACGTGGCATTTTCCAGACCTAGCTGGGTGATCTCTGACACCTTGGCTTTCTTTTTGAGGGGAAGGACAATATTCTGGGATCAGACAACTAGGCAGCTGACACTGGCAGCAGAGAAGGGAAAATATTTATGGGAGAGAC